GGTTTTTCCTTGCCTACTTGATGTTCTCGAACTACGATGCTGAAAATCGCTTTTTCTCATTAAGAGCTTCAATTTCAAGGAGGAAATTTCAGATCAATCCACATCCAACAAGCTGCTCTGAAAATTCTGCTCATATTTTATAGCTGCGACAGATTCCATCACAACAGCCAAGATAATCCACACCATTCAAAAACAATTAGCATCACTAAATAAGACAACACAAAGCATTTTCAAAGAATGTCAGTTCACCTTATCTTAAAGAATGCTTTCAAATCTTTCCAGATCCAGACCTTTAGCAAAAACTAATCAATTCTTCCTTAGGTCTTACTCCGTTTGGTCAAGCAGTAGCGAAAGTCTAGACTGCAGCTGAGCTGAAGCCAAGGGGTGGGCATGAATGGAGCTTCGGCCAGCAATAATTAGCTGGTTTATATCTGGTCACTAGTACACAGAACAATGATAAAGGACCTTCTGGCTACCAACTGTAATCAGCTCCCAGGTAGCTGAACAGCTTGGGAATGTGAAAGAGACAAGGAGAAACTACCAGATCTCTGCAAGGCTGGGAGCTGTCTCTTCTCTCTCTCCAGTAACATGATGTGGAGATGCCGGTGTTGGACTGGGATGGACAAAGTCATTAGACACCAGGTTATTGTCCAACAAGTTTATTTAAAGTGATTTTAAATAAACCTGTTGGATAATAACCTGGTGTCATCTGACTTTTGACTTTCTCCAGCAACAACCACTCTAAGCCTGAAGAAAGCTATTTTGTTTTTCCTGCAGCTGTCAATGTATGCTCTGGCTCTTGACCAGGAAGTTAGAGTCTTTACAAGTGTCAACCAATCACTCTGTACCTCCTGCAAACAAGTGAGTGCAGCTGGAGAAGGATGACAGAGCAGCAAGTCCTGACAACCCAACAGGCCCATTTCAGTGACCCCTGTAGACAGAAAACATTGAACTGCCTTCCCAATTTTATTCTCCACCCAAACACGCTCTGTTTTTCCCAGTGCGGGTCTGTCGGTAGGGGGGGGGGCGATGTTTAAACAGTGGGGTTAGAACTTCTACTAGTTCCGGTCATTGGTTCATAATTGTAATTAGAATCTATTTGTCTATAATAAACAGTTATTCTTGTTAAGTGCAGAAGTCTGTTCATTACATTCTGTCAACCTAGATCTGAATGACACGTAAATTGAGGAATTCTTCAGCTTTTTAAAATTTTTAACTTTTTGATGACTTCAGGAAAAGCAGGACTTGAAATTTAGCGCAATACCCCAGTGATTCATGACAATGATGATAGCTATCAAAAGGGAATTGGGTAAATAGTTAAAGGGGATGATATTCAGGCCCATTGGGAGAGAGCTGGGGAGTGAGCAGGGTCTTTCAAAGAGCCAACACAAGCACAATGGGCCAAATGCTTTTGTCCTATGCAGCACAATTCTATAAACTGCAATTCTTTCCCTCTACAACATCTCATCCCCTTTTGAAAGTTATTATTGAATCTGTTTCCACTGCTCTTTTAGGTAGCTTGTTTCAGATCCCAACAACTCACTGTGACAAGATACCCCTCATTCAAAAATTCCCCTTTTCCCAATTCTCTTCAATCTGAATTCCACTGGTGACAGGCCCCCTGCATGGGAAAGGGTTGTTCTAAACACTGTCCATTCTGACTACTCGGTTGGTTATTTTTACTCCACTCTGGCATGGTAATAATTATAATCTCCAGGAATTACTGATAAAGAGCCCCCTTTCTCAGGTCATTGGAATTCCCACTGTTCTATGAAAGGATACAACCACCATTGGTTTCTCTTTGAGCTGAAACCCATTGACTTCTTTGAGGGCTTTGGCTGCAGCTCTCTCGTTAGGAAGCCCAACGAAGGCTTGCCCCTTCATTCTTCCTTCTTTCATCAATCGGATGTCAAACCTGCAAAGGCAGAACAACTTTGTTTTATTAAAGACAACGCATCATTCAAATTCAAAACCAACAGAAGAGATATTGGTTCATTCATAGACAGCCATTCAACATCTTTTTCCAATGATCTGGACTATGTGCTCCCTGGTCTACATTAGCTGCTGCATTCCTGCATTCAAATTCGTCTGTGACTTCGAGTCCTGGCTATCTCTGTAACTTTCACCAAGCTTACAATTTTTCCTAGGTTTGTTTCTTCCTCCAGTTACAATGCCGTTCCCTACCTCTGTGATGCTGTCCAGCTCTACATCTTTCAACATATCTGGACTTATCTAATTCTGGCCACTTATCCACCCCCCGATTTTTGTCGCCCCACCACTGAGCTTATCTCCAGTTGATGGAGGACTTGAGCTCTAGAATTCCCTCCCTAAGTCTCCTTGCCTTTCCATCTCACTTTCGTTTCTCAAGACACTGCTCAAAATTTACCTCTTTATCCAAACTTTTGGCTACCTATCCTAACATTTTCTTGCATGGATCCATTTGTTTGTGAAGGAACTTGGGACGTTTCTTTAAAAGGTGAAAATCAATTATAAACAGAATAATTTAATTGTAGAATAGAACTTCTACAACATTTAAGTTTTAATAGTTATTTGGCAGGACAAAACTTTAGTATCACTTAAAAAAAAAAGTTGAAGTGTGATGGAATACTCTCCGTTTGCCTGGAATGGGTTCAGGCCCAATAACACTCAAGAAGCTTGACACCATCCAGGACACAGCAGCCCACTTGATTGGTACTACATCCACAAGCATTCACTCCCTCCATCACCGACGCTCAGTAGCAGCAGTGTGTACTACCTACAAGATGCACTGCAGAAATTCACCAAAGATCCTCAGACAGCACCTTCCAATTCCACGACCCTTCCATCTAGAAGAACAAAGGCAGCAGGATACATGGGAACACCACCCTCTTGCAAATTCCCCTCCAAAGATATTCACCATCCCGACTTGGAAATATATCGCCGTTCCTTCACTGTCATGACTCAAATTCCAGGAAATCCATCCCTAATGGCATTGTGGGTCAACCTAAAGCACATGGACTGCAGCGGTTCAAGACGACAGCTCACCACCACCTTCTCAAGGGCAACTAGGGACGGATAAAAATGCTGGCCCAGCTAGCGACACCCACATCCTAAATGTGAATTTTTTTAAAAAAAAGAATGCTTTGTGCCTTGCAGCCATCAGGACATTTTGCAAGAATACAATCTCAAAGGGAAAAACAACATTTATAGTGCATGAGGAGAGTGCTGATTGGTTGGCGAGTGGATTCTTAATTGGTAGGGGTGTTGTCATGGAGAATGCAACCATTAATGCTGATTGACAGTCAACAGCCAAGCTATGTTTAACGGTCAGTCAGGTTTACAGTGTGCTGCATTAGTGAGTATTGGAAGTTACATATATTCATACACAGTGCCTGGTTGCAGAGGGGTTGGAACTGTGTGGGAGCACACTTTCCTGAGTTGCTTGGGTGAGTTTGGAAAATAAGGAATGACATCACAGGAAAATTGTGCAGCTGCTGTTAGGGACTGTGTTTCAACCCCAGGAATTATAAAGTAGCAGAGGGACAGGAAGAATTTACAGACAAAGGAGAGGGGAGCTGATTTGTCAGTAACGGCAAAGAATCCTTCTTTCTACAAATCTACAGTTTAGAATTAGATTTAGAAGTTGCTGGAAAAGCTCAGCAGGTCTGGCAGCATCTGTAAAGAAAAAAATCAGAGTTAACATTGCTGGTCCGGTGACCCTTCCTCAGAATGGTCACTGGACCCAAAACGTTAACTGATTTTTTTCTTCACAGATGCAGCCAGATCTGCTGACCTTTTCCAGCAACTTCTATTTTTGTTCCTGATTTACAGCAGTTAATTCAGTTTTTATACAGTTCAGAATTAATAAACAAACACAGATCATTTTCTAGGAGATAGTAAGAACTGCCAATGCTGGAGTCAGAGATAACACAGTGTGGAGCTGGAGGAACACAGCAGGCCACGCAGCATCAGAGGAGCAGGAAAGCTGACGTTTCGGGTCGGGATCCTTCTTCAGAAATGGGGGAGGGGGAAGGGAGCTCAGAAATAAATAGAGAGAGGAGGGGTGGGGCTGGGGAAGATATGTGGGATGGTGATAGGTGAGTGCAGGAAGGCAGTGGTGGGGATTGGTCAGTGAGGTGGGAGAGAAGACGGACAGGTCAAGGAGGCGGGGATGAGGGGGGCTGGGGAAGGTAGACAGCAGAAACCTGAGCGTTACATATACTGCAGCATGTGATAAGTCTCAGACCCTCCTGGCAGGCTGGATGGCCACATCTGCAGGATGCACCACCATTTTAAATCAGCTTGAGCACTCAGACTTGAGTTTGATCGTTGGCTGGAGGAATGGCAGTGAATCAATGAGGTTTGGAGTTGACACAGTGTGGAGCTGGAGGAACACAGCAGGCCAGGCAGCTTTTCTGAAGAAGGATCCCAACCGAAACGTCAGCTTTCGTGCTCCTCTGATGCTGCCTGGCCTGCTGCGTTCCTCCAGCTCCACACTGTGTTATCTCTGACTCCAGCATCGGCAGTTCTTAGTATCGCCAGGTTTGGAGTTGTGTAGATATTAGACATTTTCAGACATGGTCGAAATGCAGACAAATGAAGTGCATTTATGGAAGGACTAGGTGGTCTCCATTAGAAGACAGGAGACACACATGCAGTCAGGAAAGTCCCAGAATGAATGGTGAATGATGCTACCTCTGGGGAGCGTAGCTACAGCCCACTGCCCAGCAGGTGAGGAGAAAGAGACGAAGGAGCTATACTGGTAGGAATGTAGTAGTGAGGAATACGGACAGGCAGTTTGACAGTTGCAGATGTGACTTCAAGATGGTGTGTTACCTCCCTTGGACCAGGGTCAAGAATGTCACTGAATGGCTGCAGGGCATTCTGAAGGGGGAGGATGAATAGTCAGACATTGTGGTTCACACTGGGACCAATGACACTGGAAGAAAATGAATGGAAGCTGCTTTTGTGACTGGAAGCTGTGTGTCAAGTGTTGTGCTGCAGGGCTCAGTGCTAGGCTCCTTACTGTTTCTAGTGTACATTAATTATCTAGATGCAAATACAGGAGGTTTAATCAATAAATTTGCAGATGACATGAAAATTGGTAGCATGTTAAATAGCAATAGGGAAAGCCTTACACTACAAGACGAATGACTGAACATAGCCAATGGAAATTAATGCTGAAAAGTGTGAGGTGATGCATTTTGGGAGAATTAGCAAGGTAAGTGAGTAGACATTGAATGGTAGGACCTAGTAAATACAGAGGATTGTAGGGAGCTTGGTGTGCATGTCCATACATCTTTAAACATAAGTCAGATGGATAAGACAGTTAAGACATGTGGGATCATTGCCTTTATTAGTCAAAGCATTGAATACAAGACCAAGAACATTATGACAGAGCTGTATATGATGTTAGTTAGGCAACAGATGGAGTCCTGAGTCCAATTCTGGTCTCTGCACTGTAGGAAGGATGTGCTTGCACTGGAAGGGGTGCAGAGGAGATTCATCAGGAGGTTGCCTTGGATGGAGCAGGTTAGCAATGAAGAGAGGCTGAATAAGCTCGGGGTGTTTTCCTTGGAGCAGGAAGGCTGCAAAGTGGAGCTTATTGAAGTCTGCCATGAGATAGATTAGATAGGAAGGAACTTTTCCCCTTCATTGGGTGGGGGGGAGGCGGAGTAAATAAACAGGGGGCATAGATTTAAGGTGAAGGCCAGGTGTTTTAGAAGGCTTTTAAAGGAAAACTTTGTCCTCTCCTACAGGCAGGAGCCGTCACAACACTTAAGAACTACTTAGACGATCACTTGAAGGGCTATAGCATTCAAAGCCAGGTGTTGGAAAGTGGGAAGTGGTGTAAATAGCTGCTTAACAACTGGTGTGGACATGATGGGCTGTAGGGCTTCTTGATGTGTCGTGAAACTACAGGAGTCTATTGAACCTGGATGTTAACTGTCAATCAGCACTAATGGGTGCATTCTACATGGCCACACCTCTACCGACCAATTTCCACTTGCCAACCAATCAACACTCTCCTTTCATGTAGTATAAACGATGTCTTGCTTTTACTTTGGTATTTCTTGCAAAGTGTCCTGATGAGTGAACAACGACAAGCTTCAACAAAATGCACCTCTTTACAGAAAAACTCAAAGTTTTAGTCCAATTGCTAACACTAAAAGATAGATTCGTATTTCGCAGAACCTATTACCCTCACAGGATGTCCAAAAGTTAGTTAGTTAATGAGGATTTTCTTTGAAGTGTAGACACTGCTTAAAAGTAGGAAACTAGGCAGCCAACATTTGCACAGCAAGATCCCACAAACAGCCCTGTGAAAGTGATCAGATCATGTGTTTTTACATACATTCCTGTTCTGCTTCAATGCAACTGCTGTCGGATCATTTGCATCCCTTGGAGCAGATGTACCTCTTTACACCCCATCCAAAGGCAATGCCTTTGACACAGCAGCACTCCCTTTAGTCATGTCCTGGGTTTGCTAACCTGATCTAGGTGCTCAAATCTACTCAGTGAAAATTGTACCCATGTCTTCCTGCACTCTCAATATTACCGCAGAGAAACAGAAACCAGAAATCTTACATGTTCCTCTCAGTTTGCGATGAGAAATCAACGTATCTGCCAAAGATGAACTTCAAATCCTGCAATGAGATCAAAGTGAGAAAACACTGTTTGCACAAACTTCACCAGCCTGCCTCTTAAAGTTGCAACGAAAAAAGAAAGGGAGCTAGCTGTTAGGGAAACTAGGAAAGAAATTACCTTCTCTTCGACCTGTTTGGAAAGATTCTTTACGTACAGGCGACAGGTTGGTTCACCTGGGTTGTAATTCTTAAACAATGAAACGGTCTCCATTTCTGCAAGAAGAAAATCATAAACAGTGTATACCACAGAACAGAAAGAGGCCATTCAGCCCTGAGGCTGCACAACCATTCAAATGGATCATGCCAACCTATTCTCAAATCCAATAAGAACCTACCAAGCTCAGTTATACATGTCCAACTAAGTCCCGCATCCCACCACCCCTGAACAGCCCAGCTCTGATTTTGAGGTTACACCTGCAAGTGCGGACTACTCCCATTCCAAGACAAGCAAATTTTAAATTTCTCAGGTTTTAGAGTAGATTTGTAGCTTGGGTTGTGGGTGTTGTGGTTGGTTGGCTGGCTCGCTGAGCTGGTTCATTGTTCCACAGATGTTTCATTACCCTTCTGGGTAACATCATCAGTGCAGCCTCTGATGAAGCGTCGTTGTGTTTTCCCACTGTGGACAGGACCAATGTCATATACAAGATTCCCTGCAGAGACTGTGACAAACACTACATAGACAAACAGGAAGGAAATTAAGAACAGGGGTACACGAACACCAATTGGCAACAAAAGGACGTGGCCAATACTCACTCATGTCTACCCACATGGATAAGCAGAACCACCAATTCGACTGGTACAACACCAAGATCCTGGGACAAGCAAAGCTGAGACATGCATGGGAATTCCTAGAAGCCTGGTACTCCACAAAGAAAGCCATCAACAAACACGTAGAACTCGACCCCATATACACTCCATTGCAAAGGAAAACTAGAAGCAAGGTAATCTAGCTCAACAGACTCCAGAGTTTAAATACCAGGCGGGAAAACACAACGACGCTTCATTGAAAGCTGCACTGATGATGTTACCCAGCAGGGTAATGAAACGTCCGCGGAACAACGAACCAGCTCGGCAAGCCAACCAACCACAAAATTTTAAATTTCAAAGATTTCACTCCCACCACTGATTGGTGCTTCAAGAATAGTTATTGGTGCTCCCTCTGTCTCTCACACTCACCATCTCTCGATAACCTTCCTTTTGCCAACTCTTTCCTGGAAATGAACTCAGAGGGAATTTCTTCCTCTTCCTCCTCCTCACTTTCACTTTTTGAACGTACAGGAGCTGGTTGGATTTTCCCAAATCCTGAGTTTTGAGCTTCAGAATTCTGTTGCGGCTCTGCGAAAGTGTCATCAGGAAAACAGTGCTGAATAACCAATTGCAGCTCAGTGCCAACTGCCTCACATTGAATCCATTCATTTCTCACAGTACCTTTCATCCAGAATGTGACTGGATCATAACTGCTGGCTGTTATGCAATTTGTTACAAGGCCTCTAAAGGAATAAATCCCTTCAACATTTCACAGGATCATAATTCAGATATTGAGCCTCATGAGAATAGATGAGAGCATTCAACCAGAAGTTTGGTAATTGTGGTGCATTTTAGGAGCATTTTAGAATCATACAGTACAGAACGGGCCCTTCAGCCCCAAGAGTCTGTACCGCTAAAACTACACTACTCCCACTTTCCTGCAGTAGACCCATAACCTTGATCTTTATGACATTTCAAGCGCTTGTCCAAGTATGTTTTAAAGGTTGGGAGGTTTCCCAACTCCTCTCAGGCAGTACATTCCAGACCGCCCACCCTCTGGGTGAAAAGGTTTTTCCTCCAATCCCCTCTAAACCTCCTGCCTTCCACCATAAAAGTCTGCCCCCTTACTTTTCTTTTTAAATTGACCCTTCAAGTAAGGGGAATAGTTGCTTTCTTTCCACACTGTCCATTCCCCTCAATCTTATACACCTCTATCAGGTCCCCGCTAGCCTTCTCTGCTCCAAAGAAAACAACACAAGCTTATCCAGCCTCTCCTCATCACTGAAATGCTCCATCCCAGCCATGTCCTGGTGAATCTCCTCCACACCCGTTCCAGTACAATCACATCCTTCCTGTAATGTGGTGACCAGAACTGCACACAGTACTCCAGCTATAGCCTAACCAAAGTCCTGTACAGCTTCAACATAACCTCCCTGCTCTTATAATCGATACCACGACTGATAAAGGGAAGTGTCCTGTATGCTGCTTTAACTTCCCTATTAACCTGTCAGCCACCTTCAGGGATCTGTGAACAAACACCCCCTGGACTGCTCTGTTCCTCTGAGCTTCCTAGTGTCCCACCATCTGAGTATTCCCTTGTCTTGTTATTTTTCTGAAGTGCTTCACCTCACATTTAGCAGGATTAAATTCCATCTGCCTCTGATCAGCCATGCTGACCAATCTGTAAACTGTAAACTGTAATCTGTAACCTAACACCTTCCTCCTCACTGTCAACCACCCAGCCAAACTTCGTGTCATTCGTAAACTTTATCAACCACCCACGATTTTTTCTGTACATCACAAACAATCCGGGAGTCAACACCGATCCCTGTGCTACACCGCAGGATACCGTTTCCAGACACACAAACAGCCTTCAACCGCCACCCTCTGTCTCTTGTCACTAAATCAAATTTGGATCCAACTTGCCAAGTTACCTTAGACCCCATGTGCTCTTTCTTTCTTTCTTTATCGGTCTCCCATGTGGAACCTTGTCAAAGGTCTTGCTAAAATCCATAGTAACAATATCAACGGCACTACCCTCATCCAAATACTCAGTCACCTCCCCAAAAAATTCAAGCAAATTTATTAGGCATGGCCTCCCTTTAACAAAGCCATGCTAGCAATCCCTGATCAAACCTTGCTACTCTAAATATAAAGATAAATGGTCCCCTTCAGAATTTTCTTCAATAGCTCCTTTGCAACTAACGTGAGACTCACTGCTCTGTAATTCCCTGGATAATCTCCATCATGGAGGAGGAGATGGGCTGAGGAATGGGCTGATGTTCTGGGGGTAGGAGCTGGCGTCCTGCGATGGGACGGCAGTAATTTAGTGACACATCAGCAAACACTAACCTATTGTGAAGGGCTTTGAGAAAAGGATAACAGATTTCTTTGTTTTTCTACTGGGAGACAAGTGTACACAGCCCTACACAGGTGCACACTGCATCCATGGCATCCTACCTGGTCGACGATCACCTCCTCCCTCCAACAAACTGCTAGCATCGACAGAGATGTGGAATTCAATTTTCTTTTGACTGTGAGGCTGCGGCTGGTCAAAGACTTCAGATGGTGGAACCACAGGATGCGAGCTGAGAAGGCACAGGAAGACGTAAATCAACCTTCACTGGAAAGTGGGACTTAGAAGCGGGAATTGGTAATTTGGCCCAATAATAAAATCATGGCTGAAACAAACAATGCTGGAGAAACTCAGTATGTCTGGCAGCTTCTTTGGAGAGAGAAAGAGAGTTAATGTTGAGCCCCATATGACTCTACAGAACTGTTCTGATTAGTGGAGGTTGGGCTATTGAATATTTTAAAGACAAAAGTAAATCAAATCTTGACTGAAGCAGTCAAACAGTACTGGGGGCAGGTGGGAAAGCGGAGCTTTGGCCACAGCCAGATCAATCACAATCTTACTGAATGGCAGACTCATCAGGCTAAACAGTCTACTTCTGTCCCCATTTCTGTGACCTCATCATTCCCAGCGGTTATGCACTGCAGTAAAGAAACTGAAGGTTTCTCGTTAGGCTGCACAATATTAGGACGCATGAACTGATTAACTAACCTATTACGTACTGCCTTCTATTACGCCAACATAGTGTTCATTGAGTACAACTGCTTCTCTCCAACTACTACAAACAAAGGAATCGAATACAAAACCAGAGAAGTGATATAATTATTTACAAAACCTGGGTTAGGCCCCAAACAAAATGTAGTGTCAGATACTGATCAGTCCACTTTCAGAATGATGCAAGGGTTTATTTCTAATATTCATTCGGGTATGTACCAGTGGTCAACATTTATTGCCCATCTCCAATTGCCCTTGGGAAGGTGGTGGTGAGCGGCCTTCTTGAACTGCTACAGTCCATTTGGTGTAGGTGCTCCCACAAGACTGCGAGGTATTGAGAGCCAGGGCTTTGACCCAGCGACACTTAAGGAACGGCGATATATTTCCAAGTCAGTTCAGTGAGTGGCTTAGACAGGAACTTGCAGGGGGGGCTGCTCCCATGTGTCTGTTGCCCTTGTCTTTCTAGATGGAGGTGGTTATGGGTTTGGATAGTGCAGTCTCAGGAGCCACAGTGAATTCCTGCAGTGCATTTGTGGATGGTACACACTGCTGCTACTGGATGCTGGTGATGAAGGAAGCGAATATTGAAGGTAGTGACTTGGGTGCCAAACAGGATATTTTGTACTGTCTGGTGATCTGTTGCTGGATTTGCACCTATCCAGGCAAGTGGGGAAATATTCCCTCACACTCCTGACGTGTGCTTTATGGACAGGGAACAAACTTTAAACACCCAGAAGATGGAGTTATTCACTGCAGAATTCCCAGCTTCTGGCCTCCTCTGGTAGCCACAGTATTTATACGTCAATACAGTGTGGAGCTGGAGGAACACAGCAGGTCAGGCAGCATCAGAGAAGCAGGAGAGTCGATGTTTCGGGTTTACTCCCTCATTAGGACTCTATTTATATGGTGAGTTCAGTTCAGTGTTGGTCAATGGTAACTCCCAGGATACAGATAGTGGGGGATTCAGTGACAATCATGCCACTGAACACCAACTGGTGATCTTTAGATTCTTTCTTGTTTCAGATGGCACTTGTGGCATGAATGTTATTTGCCTCTTCTTATTCCAAACCTGGACATTGTCCAGGTCTTGTAGCATTTACACATAGACTGCTTCAATATTGCCTGAGTAAAAAAATGATGCTAACCATTGATTGCACAGTGGAGAAATTGTTCCAGAATGGTTCCAGGAATGGGGGATTTTTAAATTGGAGAAGCTGTGGATTTTCCTCTTGGAGTAAAGAGGTTGAGGGAAGATTTGATAATGATGTGCAAGATTGTGAAAAGTTTAACTGTGAATAACAACCTTTTATACAGTGAGCAGTAATAAAGTAAAATGTGCTTCCCACTGGGTAATGGTGGAAGTAGAGACAATGAACAAATTCAAAAGAAAATCGGACAAATATTTGAGAAAATGAAGTTGCAGGGTCATGATCATTGAAGGGAAAAGTGACTGACTCTAGACAGAACTAGCATAAACTTGATAGGCCGAGGGACATTCTTTTTGTAACAAATAGTTATGACACATCACACCACGACATTTTTGAGTGAAAGGCATTGTCGTCTCAGGGTCAGGGTCGAGTCCTATATTAGATCACTGGTTGATCAACCTCCCTTCACCTACAATGCCCACAACTGGGTTTTGAGAAGTATGAAATATCTGATGGAGGAGTATAGAGAACAGAATTGATGCATAAACAGCAGAGATTAAGCAATGCCATACACAGAGACCATCTTCTTGGTTTCAATGTCATTCGGGATCTCCAAATAACATGTGAAAATGATGCTCCTATATAACAATTTAATTTGTATACACAGGTAGGGCCTCATGTGGCTGCTCTTTTGAGGACCTAACAGTCTTGTTTACTTCAAAGATACTTCACTTAAACAAAGTTTTCTGGCCTGTGAAATTTTGGGACTAAAAACTCATCTCTCTAAAAATCCTCACCCTTGCTGCTGAGCCACTGAAAGTGAATGGTTGTCCTGGGGCACTTAGTTGCTTTCCTCTTTATCGTAGGAACCTTTTGTACTTGAATGTGTAAGTCAGTAAGTCTTGGTGCATTTACAAGAATAGTTTCAGGGATGAGGAACATCAGTTATGAAGATAGATTAGAGAAAAGGCAACTGGAAGGAGATCTGATAACAAAATTCAAAACCCCGAGAAATCTGGGCAGAGTAGACAGGGAGAAACTTTTCCCACTCCTGAAAGGATTGTGATTGAGGGGCAAGATTTAAAGCAATGGGCAAAAGAAGCAGAAGTGATAGGAAGGAATCAATTTTCATGCAGTGAGTGGTTAGAGTCTGGAATGCACTGCCCAATTGCAAGCTCAATTAAAGCATTCAAAAGGATTCACTACTTGAAAAGAGGAAAATGGACATGGTCACAGGGAGAAAGTTCAAAAATGACACCAAGCAAGTTGCTGATTCTGACAGTCAGTGCTATATGATGGGCAGAATGGCCTCCTGCTGCACCCGAACAATTCTGTGACCTCCTGAGATCAAACAGCCAATGGCCGAGAAGCTGAAGCTGGCTTTCAATGTGCAACAGGCTCGGAATGAGGTACTACAGGCAGTCCTGATTACAATCAATAGGCTACTCCAGGATTCAACCTTCTTATATAACCTCATTATTACAGCCTGGAGTTGACAGTGGGGAGATCGGCGATCAAAGAAGTGTTAAAAGTTAATGATAGCCAGACCAGGTAAGAGGTACCTCAGGAAGAATCATCAACAGTATGTGTGCATACTTGGACAATACTGGGATTTATTGGTGAAAGCTGTTGCAGCGTGTGCAGTGAGCACTGTGAACAGACTGCCTGGTATAAGCCGGCCAGTGCAGAATGGAGCCCAATGTGAAATTCTGCTGGGAACTGAAGGCCATTAAGGGCAGTCCTCAGGTTACTAATGGGTTCCATTCTTAAATACTTTCATCAATCTATTTGTCCGCAAGCTGGAACACAATACAATACAAAATAACTGTTCATTGGTATGAGAAAATGCTCATGTTAAATCTTTAAATTTAATTTTACTTTGGGATCTCGTTCATAAGTAAGAGTGTTCATAAAATGTACAATTGTAAATCGGGGACAGCGGTCTGTAGATAAAATGTTCCTGAACCTATTATAGATATGACATAGATCCACATGTGCTACAATCACAGAACGGAGGAGCCAAACATTAAGTTCTGCATTCATTACACAAAACTGAGATGAAAATAATTTTTTGCTTTACATGGGAGAAATTCTGATCTGGAAAGTGCTGCCTGAAAGGATGGTGGAAGCAGATTTAATAATTTTGAGAAGGGAATTGGAGAAATTTAGAAAAGGAGAAAGATTACAGGTCTATGGAGATGAGCAGGGGGAGTGGGACATAACTGAATTGTACAGCCTGAATATCCTCCTTCAGTGCTCTGTAATGCTCCAAGTTCCACACGCTAGACCTACCTTCTTAGATTCTTACCTCTGGGTAGGTGCTTTTGGCACATTAATCAGGTCCTTTAATCTCGGTCGTTTTCGGACTGATACCCGCTTTCTCTTCTGTGTCTGTTTTGGTGGAAGAGAGGCCAATCCCATCAATCGCACCATTCTGTAAAGGGAAAGGAAACGCTTTAGGCATTAAACAGATTTCCAGGGACGAAGGATTAGTTACTTGGACAAACTGAAGAAGCTGACATATGTTTCCTTCTTTTTCTTTATCAAAATCTTGATATTGCTTGACATCCAGGGTTCCCTCGCCTTGCTGCCCTTCTCTTCACTCAGAGAAATGCATTGGCCCTGAATTCTGAAGTAAACACAGTAACTACCTCTACGGAAAAAACTACTGGGGATGCCAATGGACCTAAAGGTTGTTAAGTCCTATGGATCTTAGGGGATGCATCCCAGGATATCAAAAGAAGTAGTGACAGGAAAAATGCACGCACTAGTAGCAATCTTCCAAAAATCCTTAGATTCAGATAAAGTCCCAATGATTTCAGCTGTCTAGGCACAGACTTCCCTAAACCTCTCTGTCTTTCTCTCCTCCTTTAAAGGCACTGCTTAAAACTTCCCTCTTTAACCAAGCTTCTAGTCAACTGTCCTAATATTTCCTTTGATAGTTCCATGACAAATTCTATTTGAGAATGCTCCTGTAAAACACCATGGGTCAGAAAGAAACCATTTCCCCTGGTCAATGAATCCAGACGGGTGGCACAGTGGCTCACTGGTTAGCACTGCTGCCTCACAGTACCAGGGAGCAAGACGGTAACTAGAGAAAGGGTTGGCCCACTCAAGGACAAAGGAGGGACGTTATGCAAGGAGTCAGAGAAAATGAGTCAGATTCTTAATGTGTACTTTGCGTCAGTATTCACCGAGGAGAGCGACAAGACGGATGTTGAGGTTAGGGATAGATGTTTGATTACTATAGGTCAAGTCGGCATAAGGAGGGGGCAAGTGTTGGGTATTCCAAAAGGCATTAGGGTGGACAAGTCCCCAGGTCTGGATGGGATCTATCCCAGGTTACTGAGGGAAGCGAGAGAGGAAATAGCTGGGGCCTTAACAGATATCTTTGCAGCATCCTTGAGCACGGGTGAGGTCCCAGAGGACTGGAGAATTGCTAATGTTGTCCCCTTGTTTAAGAAGGGTAGCAAGGATAATCCAGGTAATTATAGACTGGTGAGCCTGAAGTCAGGGGTTGGGAAGCTGCTGGAGAAGATACTGAGGGATAGGATCTATTTACATTTAAAAGAAAATGGGCTTATTAGTGATAGGCAGCATGGTTTTGTGCAGGGAAGGTCATGTCTTACCAACTTGATAGAATTCTTTGAGGAAGTGACAAAGTTGATAGATGAGGGAAGGGCTGTAGATGTCATATACATGGACTTCAGTAAGGTGTTTGATAAGGTTCCCCATGGTGGGCTGATGGAGAAAGTGAAGTCGCATGGGGTCCAGGGTGTACTAGCTAGGTGGATAGAGAACTGGCTGGGCAACAGGAGACAGAGAGTTGTAGTGGAAGGGAGCTTCTCAAAATGGAGAACTGTGACCAGTGGTGTTCCACAGGGATCCGTGTTGGGACCACTGTTGTTTGTGATATGCATAAATGATCTGGAGGAAGGTATAGATGGTCGGATTAGAAAGTTTGCAGATGACACTAAGATTGGTGGAGTAGCAGATGGTCAAGGGGACTGTCGGAGAATGCAGCAGAATATAGATACATTGGAGAGTTGGGCGGAGAAACGGCAGATGGAGTTCAATCCAGGCAAATGCAAGGTGATGCATTTTGGAAGATCCAATTCAAGAGCGAACTATGTGGTAAATGGAAAAGCCCTGGGGAAAATTGATGCACAAAGAGATCTGGGTGTTCAGGTCCATTGTACCCTGAAGGTGGCAACGCAGGTGGATAGAGTGGTCAAGAAAGCAAACGGCATGCTTTCATTTATCGGACGGGGTATTGAGTACAAGAGTTGGCAGGTCATGTTACAGTTGTATAGGACTTTGGTTCAACCACATTTGGAATACTGCGTACAGTTCTGGTCACCACATTACCAAAAGGATGTGGATGATTTGGAGAGGGTGCAGAGGAGGTTCACCAGGATGTTGCCTGGTATGGAGGGCGCTAGCTATGAAGAGAGGTTGAGTAGATTAGGATTATTTACATTAGAAAGACAGAGGTTGAGGGGGGACCTGATTGAGGTCTACAAAATCATGAGAGGTACAGACAGGGTGGATAGCAAGAAGCTTTTTCCCAGAGTGGGGGACTCAATTACTAGGGGTCACGATTTCAAGGTGAGAGAGGAAAAGTTTAAGGGAGATATGCGTGGAAAGTTCTTTACGCAGAGGGTGGTGGGTGCCTGGAACACGTTGCCAGCGGAGGTGGTAGAGGCGGGCACGATAGCGTCATTTAAGATGCATCTAGACAGATACATGAATGGGCAGGGAGCAGAGGGATACAGATCCTTGGAAAATAGGTGACAGGTTTAGATAGAGGATCTGGATCGGTGCAGGCTTGGAGGGCTGAAGGGCCTATTCCCGTGCTGTAATTTTCTTTGTTCTTGGCACACAGGTTCGATTCCATCCTCGGGTGACTGTCTGTGTGGAGTTTGCACATTCGCCCCGTGTCTGCGTGGGTTTCCTCTGGGTGCTCCAGTTTCCTCATACAGTGCAGGCTAGGTGGATTGGCCATGCTAAATTGCCCATAGTGTTCAGGGATGTGTAGGTTAGGTGAATTATAGGGGATAGGTCTGGGTGGGATGCTTTGAGGGTCCGTGTGGACTTGTTGGGCCGAAGGGCTTGTTTCCACACTGTAGGGATTCTATGATATCTATGAATGATGATATCTATGGACAAGGAGACATCACTTTAAAATGCAAGTCAGGTTGTTTATGACTGAAGCCAGAAAGTATTGCTTCACACATTTCTCCCCAAAATACAGTCTACGTTAAGGGGGGTGGCATTTGATAAATTCAGTCTGGCAGTAGCGTAACAGTTTTTGATTTTTGTAGTAATTTGCAAAGTCTGTAGTGGATTGAGACAACAATCAGCCACAATCTGACTGAAAAGTAGCATTCGAGGGGCTGAATGACCTCCTCCTGTTCTCGGACACAACTACATTAAAGATGCTGGGTAAATCTGAGTTACTGTTGTCATTGTTGTACTTGCCTTTCTTTATCCTCCTCACTTCCACTTTCATACTCAGATTCTTCCTCACTTGAAACATCCATCTCTTCTTCGGGCAGTGGTGGTTCCTCTGGGGGCAGTGGAGGCATTGGTGGAGGGGCGGGAATGTACTCCTCGTACTAACAGAAATAGGAAAACAAATCCCCCAATTACCCAGGGAACAACAATGATAACCTTGTGACTTGAATACAGCTCCAAATGCTTACAGAAACAGGTGATCATTCAGCCCATCTAGTATGCCCACCATTCAATGAGATGATCCCAACTGTATTTACTCAGCATAGTTCTTTCAATTACAAAACCCACCCCTTCAGATTGATAATGATTATCTGAGATGGTAACTACTACTTTTTGTGGGAGTGCTTCAGGCCTCATGAGGCCAGAAATACTACATTTCTCTTGCACCTATTTCACAGGAGCACACAAAACACGTTAAAGTCAAGGCAAAGTGTGCTTACTGCTGTAATATACAATGCAGCAACCAATTTACACACAGCAAGCTCTCACTAAGAGCAACATGACAAGGACCAGATAATCTGGCTTAGCGATGTCGAGTGAAGGACAAACACTGGCCAGGTCACTGGAGTTGACCACCCTGCCGCATTCATTAAATTAATACCACAGGAGCTTTACCTTCCATCTCAGTGGGAAATGAGTCCATGGTTCAATATCTCAATGGAATCCTGACTCGTATAAGGGGGAGGGCCCTTATGGTACTGACCCGTCGACAGTGCCCGTTCCTTCGACACTGACCCTATGATAGTGTGGCACTCCACTGGTAATTCGATGCATGCATCAGCCTGAAATTTGGCTGAAGTTTCTAGAGTGGGATTGACACTGTGCACCTTCTGATTCACATACATAGGAGGTTACCCCAAGCCATGTCTGAACAGCCTTTGAAAGAGGAATCCTGGCAAGGTAAAGGGTCAATCATTTTCCTGGTCCCAGAGAAGTTATAGTGACTCACTGATTTAACTGGAGTCACACTGGCACAAGGCTGGGATTGGAATCTAGTGACTACGCAATTAACACACCACTCATTGATTGGGCTCTTGAAGTGAAAAGTAAAACCTAACAATTATTTCACATCTTCTTGGTCTCTTCCAGTAAGAAGTTTGTCCCCTTACTCCCAGCAAATGACACAACCCCCATCTCAGTTATAAACTCCGTAACGTCTCTATCTTTTCCTGGACAAGTGATCTAGCTGGAAGATTAACCTGGTCTCTGTCCTGTAGGCTTCTCTTCCTACTGAATGCTGCCCATCCTTTCAATGTTTCCAGCACTTTATTTTTATTTCCAGAAAATAAAAATTACTCTCACCCTAAAAATGGTGCTGAACTCCATCAGGCTTCAGCCGTTTTACTGCAAGCAGCACAGCAGGACTTCAGCTCAATGACCATCTGCTGACTCCTTGAAAGTTCTAACCCATTAGCCCTACTCCCTGAAGTCTTATAATTTTTCTTCTGAGTATTTACCCTAATCCCTTTTGAGATGCATTATTAAATATGTCCCATCAGACAGCACACAGATCCCAACAACTCACTGTGTAAAACAACTGCCCTCACCTCCCCCTCTAAGGCTTCGCCTGATTCCCTTCAATCTGTCTCCCTCTGATCACTGACCCTCCAGCCTCTAGAAATACTTTCTCCTGATTTCTCGAACGAACTCTCTCCATGACTTTGAGCATCTCGATTAAATCCCCTGAATCTTCTCTGTTCTGAGAACAATCCTAGCCTCTCCAGTCTGTCCACATTCATGAAGTCCCTCATCCCTGGTCCATACAAATAAGGAGCAGCAATAGGGCCAACCTTGCCCTTGAGCCTGCTCTGTGATTTAATAAGATCAAGGATGACACAAATCATACAAGAATCATACGATCCCTACAGCATGGAAACAGGCCATTCGGCCCAACAAGTCCACACCGCCCCTCCGAACAGCATCCCACCCAGACCCAGTCCCCCACCCCTGCATCTCCCATGTCTAACCCACCTAACCTAAACATCCCTGGTCACTATGGGCAATTTAGCATGGCCAATCCACCTAGCCTGCACATCTTTTAACTGTGGGAGGAAACCGGAGCACCCGGAGGAAACCCATGCAGACACGGGGAGAATGTGCAAACTCCACACAGACAGTTGCCCGAGGCTGGAATCAAACCCGGGTCCATGGTGCTGTGAGGCAGCAGTGCAAACTGCTGAGCCACCGTGCCGCCAATACGATTGCTTCACATTCCTTCCAACCCTCGATAATCTTGCACCTTCTTGTTTTATCAAGAATCTGTCTCCCGATGTCCAAAAAAAAAAAAACTAGTTCCACTAGTTTCTAAACACTTGGGACCCCCTGAGAAAATAAATTCTCCTTATCTGTTTCAAATGGATGGCTCCTTTTTAAAACAGTAACCCCTAGTTCCAGATTCGGACACAAGGGGAAACATCCTGTCCACATCTACCCCATCAAGACCCCTCTACATTTTACGTTTCAAACAAGCCACCTCTTATGCTTCTAAATTCCAATGGAAACAAGCCCTGTCTGTCCAACCTTTCCATATAAGATGACCCACCCGTTCCAGATATTAGCCTGAGACACCTCCTCTGACCTGCTTCCAATACATTTACAGCTTTCTTTAAATAAAATGACCAACACTGTGTACATAGTTCTCCAGATATGGTCTCATCAATTCTCTGTATAACTGAAGCATAATCTCCCGTCTTTTGAACTCAATTCTACTTGAACTCAATAACAGTAACATTCGCTTAGCAAACTAATTTTCTGTGGTTCATGCACTAGGACACCCAGATCCCTCTGCATCTCAGGGTTCTGCAATTTCTCACCATTTAAATAATATACTTGCTTTTTATCCTTCCAGCCAAATGGACAATATCACATGTTCCAACACTGTACTCTATTTGCCACATTTTTGCCCACTCACTTAATCTATTTATATCCTTCCATAGCTTATATCCTTACCATATCTTATTTCCCAAACTAGCTTTGTCCCACACTTACACCCTCTCCAAGGCCTTGGCATTCTACCTCAAAATTTCTGCTATTGGCTAATTGTGGATACTCCATGCATTACTGTCACAGTTTTTCTCTCACACATTACCATTGGAGGGCGAGTTGTGATGGGTCCAAAGGGAGCAGGCAGATTCATCTTGTTCATCAGGTGCAGAACCTGCAAGCAAGGAATTCAGCATCAGCGAGATATTCAAAAAGTGTGAACAAAAGGCACTGACACTACACAACAAACTTGCACTTCTTCATCTCAGCCATCCCAAAGTAGTTAAACTTAATGAAGTTTTTCAGAAACGTGGTAACTGTTGTAACGTAGGAAATGCTGCATTTCACCATGTACAGTAAGCTACCAGAAACAGGAATGTGATCAGGAGTAGTGTTATCTGTCCTACTGAACAATTTGTTAGGACGTCATGTTACAACTGTGCAAGACATTGATAAGGCCACATTCAAAGTACTTTGTACCATTCTGGTCATCTTGCTAAAGGAAGGATGTTATTAAAAATGCAAAGGGTGCAAAAAAATATTTACAACTATATAACTCAAACTGTCCAGTCTTGGTAACAAGGAGAGACTGGATAGGCTGGGACCTTATTGCCTGGAGCATAGGAGACTGAGGGGTGATCTTATGGAGGTTTATAAAATCAGGAAGGTCATAGAAAATGTGAATAGCCAAGGTCTTTTCAGCAGGGTAGGGAGTCCAAAACTAGAGGACATAGGTTTAAAGTATGAGGGGCAAGATTTGAAAGGAGCCTGAGGGGCAACTTATTCCACACAGAGGTTGTACGTATGGAATGAGCTGCCACAGGAAAGATAGAGGCAGGTACAATTATAGCATTTAAAATGCATCTGGACAGGTACATTGATAGGAAACGTTTAGAGGGATATTGGCCAAACACAGGCAAACGAGACTAGTTCAGTTCAGGAAACCTGGCCAGCATAAACTAGTTGGGCCGAAGGGTATGGTTCTGTGCTGCGTGACTCTAACTTATATTTATACAGCACCATTAACAAAATGGAGTGCCCCAAGGCACTTTGCACAAGTGTTGTAAAACACAGTTTGACATTGAATCAGAAATGACGTTAGAATAGAAGATGTACATAAGAACACAAAATAAAGAAACAGGTGTAGGCCATTCGGCCCCTCAAGCCTGTCCCATCGTTCATTCAACAAGATCATGGTTGATCGACATCAGGCCTAACTCCTACTTCATGGCAGCTCAGCACGGCTGTCAATTCTCCAATATTTCGAAAAGTCTATCTATCTCCTCTTTAAATCATATCAGTGATCTAGCTTCCACAGCTCTCTAGGGTAAAAACATTCCTTACCCTTGGGACATGCCAGTGTATCCTATCTTTAATACAAGGACCAAAACTGCTCACAGTACTTCGGGTGCACCTCACTAACTCCTTGGACTGTTGTAACAAGACTTCCCCGTTCTTAAACTCCAATCCCTTTGCAATACAAGTCAAAATTCCAGTTGCCTTCTTAATTACTTGCTGGACCTATATAGCTTCTTGTGTTTCAAGCACTAGAACATCCAGATTCCTCTGCACTGCACATTTTTGGAGTCCTTCTCCATTCAAATAAAAGTCTGCTTTTTGAGTCTTCCTACCCAAGCACATAACCACCCAATATCCTACATTAAATTTCAGCTGCCAAGGTTTTGCTTACTCACTCTATCTATATCCCCTTTATGATTGTTTATGTCCACATCACATGTCCTCCTACTTTTTTTTTTAGAAGCAACAAATTTGGATATATTACATTCTGCACCCCCAACTCAAGTCATTTAATATAAATTGTAAATAATTGAAGCCCTTGTAACACTCTACTAGTTATGCCTCTTCAACCTTAAAAAGACCCTGTAATCCTGACTCTGTGTTAACTTATCCTTTATGTATACCTCAACACCATGAGCTCCTATCTTGTACAATAACAATTACATGTGTCATCTTATCAAATATTGTCTGGAATCCAAATACGCTACAAGGTCTTTTTCTCAGGGTAGAGAGTCCAAAACTAGAGGGTATAGTTTTCAGGTGAGAGGGAAAAGATTTAAAAGGGATTGGAGGGGCAACTTTTTCACGCAGAGGGTTGTGCATGTATGGAACGAGCTGCCAGAGGAAGTGGTGGAAGCTGGTACAATTACAACATTTAAAAGGCATCTGGATGGGTTTACGAATAGGAAGGGTTTAGAGGGACATGGGCCAAATGCTGGCAAATGCGAGCTAAATTTACTTAGGATACCTGATCGGCATGGACGAGTCAGACCGAAGGGTCTGTTCTACAACTCTATGGCCATGTACTGGTTCCTTTTTATCAAATATGCTTGTTATAGCTTCAAAGAATTCTAACAAATTTATCAAATATGATTTCCCTTCTACATAAATGACATCGACTCCATTCGATTGCATTAAGCTTTTCTAAATGCCCTTCTATTGAAGAGAATTTCTTCTATTGGCTGGATGACCAATAACATCCTACAAATGCCTCTGTTCTGCAAAATCATCTCAAGAAAAGGGAAGAGCAAGAGATTGAGAGATTGAAATCTTCAAAGTTATGAAAGGGTTTGACAGGGTGAGCATAGAGAAAATGTTTGCACTTGTGATCAGAACTTGGGGTGTTGAACCCAAGACAGTCCCTAATAAATCCAAACAGGAATTCAGGAGAAACATCCTCACCCAGAGAGCGGAGAGAATGTGGAACTCTGGAACACAGAGGAATATTAATGATACATTGAAACGGAAGCTGAATAAACATCCCTTGATTTTTTTTTTGCCTCTCATATGTTGATGATGCAGATGAAATAAGGGTGGCATAAAGCTGAATAAGCATTGCCATTAGCTGCCTGAGCCCAGCGGCCTGTAAATTCTACATAATTCAACTCAAAAGTTCAGTAAAAGCAAAGGCTAAGATTTTCTTGCAGCAAAAAGTTAAAAATATCTCAACAGATTCTTTTACCTGCACATAGAACTTGGGTACACTCGCCATGGCATTTGCAATGTTGGCCAGAATGACACTGGTTGGTGGTGGATACAGATACTTCAGGCATGGGTTCATGGGATAGGTCAACCTGCAACACAAGGAGGACAAGGTCCACAGTCTGAGACACAACTAAGGACCTCACAGCCTGGTGATTAGAAACTTGCCAACAATGTTATTAACTCAGCCGGATTGTGCCATCAGCTTTTTCACCACATCTGCCCATATTTGTAAGGATTCTCATAAGTGTATTTAACTGATGTAGGTTGAAGAATAAATATTGACCAAGCACCTGGGAGCCTCCTCTGCTCTTCTTCAGATTAGTGCCAATGGCATCACTGGCACAGGGCCAGGACATATTGGACATACATCTGAGAAAGCACGCAGGGCCTTGGTTTAGTGCACCCTTTGAAACTGGACCCTCCAACAGCGTGGCACTCCCTCAGTTCCTCCCTCCCTAATTGGCTCTGGCCTCATTGTTTTGAAATCATTGGAGTGACTTTTTACAAATTATATTCTGGGGGTTAGGTAACATTGCCCACAGTGGCTCGTGTGGGAATCCTGTTGAGCTGGTTCCAAGTGACCATGGTTTAAAGCCATGTTACTAACCCGTGGCTCTTGGCAATCACATCCTCAATAACTGGAACTCTTGGTTTCAGATCCTGCTTCTTATCTTTATCATCTGAAGTCTTCTCTGTACCATGACTAAAAAGCAGAAATAAAGAAGATTAATAATCCACGCATTTGTTAAACCACCATGAGAACTATTAGATTACTGTAATAGTAGCATCATGAACTTCCCAAGCAACATCACAGCATTTTCAAACAAACATCTGATACTGAAGCAAACAAAAGGGATGGCATTCTGAAGGGAGAATCCAGGCAGTTGTGAATGAATGGCCAACAATAACGGAAATCAGGATGGATGAGGGGCTCAATTTAAGGAGATCTCCAAAAGTTCTAAGGTTGGGAAAGAACACAGACAAAAGGAAGTGTGAGGAAAATTGAGCCAAAGAATGAGAATTTTAAAACCAAGGCTTTGCCAGACTTGAAGCAAAATAAAGTAGCAAATATGACACCTCCATTCAAGTAAGGAGGGAGGAGGAAACAGGAATAAAATAAAACAATCAGTTCTAACAAAGGGTCATAAGACTTGAAATTCTTTCTTTCCCCCAGACACTGCTGTGGCGGAGGTTCTCCAGCACTTTGACTTGGAAAATACAGGCCAGTTGGCCTTGATGTCAGCCAAAGGGAAGCTGTTCAAATCAATCATTTCTTAGACACTTGGGAAACTCAAGGTAATTGGGATGAGTCAGCATAATTTGGTGAAAAGGGAATATGATTAACTAATTGATTGGACTATCTGAATGAGTAACGTGTGCTTTGGACAAAGGGGAACTTATTAATGTACTGTACTTCAATTTCCAAAATACATTTGACAAGGTTCCGCATAAAAGGTTATTTCACAAAGCAGGAACTGCATGTGCGTCTGCATGTGAGTTGGGGGGGCAAGGGGAGGAGAGGATTATTAGCATGGATAGAAGATTGGCTGGTTGGTAGGTAGAAAACAGTGTATAAATAAATGCATCAGTTTCCAGATTGGCAGGATATGATGAATGAGGGGACTGTGTTTATAAATTTATACCAATAACTTACAGAAAGGGATGGAAGGCATGGTAGCTTTATTTAAGAGCATTCTGTGACTCTGGAACTCTCTGCCTCAGAAATTTGGTACAAACAAAGTCATTGAATAATTTTAAATGTGGAGGTGGATAGATCCTATCAGGCAAGGGAATGAAAGATTACTGAGTACAGACGGGAATGTGCAACTTGGAACTTACTAAGGCCATGGCTAATCTATTTGTGTCACTGAATGAATCACTGAAGCAACTACATCATGATATCAACAAGTTTCATCCCACAATCAGACTTACCATGGAGTACTCTTTAAAATCCGTTTCATTCTTGGACACACGCAACTCCATCAGGGACGGACACCTCAATACCTCACTCTAAGCCTACAGATAACCTCACGATGCTGTACTTCTCTAGCTTCCACCTTAAACATGGTAAAAAAGCCATCCCCTACAGACAAGACCTACGCATACACAGAATCTGTTTAGAAGAGGAGAAACGCAACGTATTGAAAGATGCCCTCATAAGAACGGGATATGATGCTCAACTCATCACCAGTTTCAACATGCCACAGCAAAAAACTGTATTGACCTCCTCAGGTAACAGACATGGGATATGACCGATAGGGTATCTTTTATCATCCAATACTTACTGGAAATGGAGAGACTTGTACACAGTAGCGATGATGATGAGCACCTCGCCAGAATCTTCCCTATGCCTCCACTTCTCACCCTTAAACAACCGCCAAAGTTTAAACAGACTATCGTTTGCAGCAAACTACCCAGCCTTCAGGACAACATTGACTACAACACCATACAACCCTGCCATGGCAAACTCTGCAGGACATGCCAGATATTGACACGACACTACCATCACACGTGGGAACACCACACACCACAAACACGGCAGATACTCATGTGACTCCGGCAATGTTGTCTATCTCATACACTGCAGGCAAGGATGCCCCAGGGCATGGTATATTGGCGAGACCATGCAGACGCTACGACAAAGGATGAATGGACAATGCGCAACAATCACCAGACAGGGATATTCCCTCCCAGTTGGGGAACACTTCAGCCGTCAAGGACATTCAGCCTCGGATCTTCAGGTAAACAACAACGCAAAGTCACCGAGCAGAGGCTATTAGCCAAATTCAATACCCATGAGGATGGCCTCAACCAGGATCTTGGGTTCATGTCACACTACAGGTGACCCATGACACTATGCACTCTCACACATGCTCACTCTCCGCGCCGACTCATCACACATGCACACACACGCACACACACTCCAAGTTAAAACACAGACTAAATTCTAAACAGGGTCTTGCACATAAAATACACTGTTTGACCTGAGATGGCACCTCTGGTATACTGATAAAGCCTTTAGTTATCTTGGGGCAGTGACTTGAAAGAAATTCTGGCATTTACATATTAATCAATCGAAATTTTTTTTTCTTTATTCATTCACGGGATGAAGGTGTCACTGGCTAGGCAGCATTTATTGTCCATCCCTAATTGCCCAGAGGGCAGTTAAGAGTCAACCACATTGCTGTGGGTCTGGAGTCATATGTAGGCCAGACCAGGTAAGAATGGCAGTTTCCTTCCCTAAAGGACATTAGTGAACCAGATGGGTTTTTCTGACAATCGACAATGGATTCGTGGTCATCATTAGATTCCTAATTCCAGATATTTATTGAATTCAAATTCCACCATCTGCCACGGCAGGATTCGAACCCAGGTCTCCAGGATAATATCTGGATCTCTGGATTAACAATCCTGTGACAATACCACTAGGCCATCGCCTCTCCGACTTATGCAAAATCTGCCTTTCCTTCCTAACTGATGAAAGATTTAACAAACATTTAAGGTTTGCTCAATACAATTACATCAGTTCTGTGACCCTTTGATTTTTTACTTATAAAATCTGTGTCTGACGCCACCTCTCATTAACACCTGAAGGAGGAGCAAGACTCCGAAAGCTTGTGATTTCAAATAAACCCGTTGGACTATAACCCAGTGTGGTATGATTTTTGACCTTGTCCACCCCAGTTCAACACCGGCACCTCCACATCCTGATTTGCCTGTAGGATATTTCAGCTTTGAAAAGCCAGATTGCTTATTTTTGCTCCTATTTTGTATGTAATTCCAAGTAGGTAAGTGGGGACGCAGGTGATGGGTGAATGGGACTTGGTTCCATGAAGACCCAGAAAATTATGCATGTCTCCATGGTCAGCATGAAATCCCACAGCAAAGCAGACACATGAACAGATCACTCAAAGCAAACACGAGGGCAGATCCCACAACAAAACTACTCAGAGCAATACAAATCTAAGCATGTGCTGCCATCTTGTGGATATGAACTGACACTGCCACTTTGTTATGAAAACAGGGGATATCATACTGGAATCAGTTCTATTATGAATGAGATTGAGGATCCAACACAGGAATGGGTGACTTGACCCAGCAAATCTGCTGCATGCACATCACTGCTCTCCTGCCTTCAGGAAGCAATACAGAAAATAGGTTCAGGGGTGGGTAATTCAGACTTTTGTGCCTGTTCTGCTATTCAACATGATCGTGCCTCACCACCCAATTCAGTCCCTTGTTCCCACTTTTTACCCTTAGCCTTTGATCCCTTTAGCCCCAAGCACTATATCTAACTTCTCCTTGAAAACATTCAAACGACCACTTAAGGGAGAACGTAAAGTACACCATAAAATGGGTTTCTTGGTTGTTGAAAGAACTGAGGGTGTCCTGCACTGGATTTTAAAATATAAGGTATTCGCAAAAATACACAGTCTAGTCACTTTTATAAAATCAGTCATAAAGCGTAACATCCTGTTGTACTAGTCTTTCAGCTTTGACCTGGAAAATTGAATTTATCATTTTAAACTTATAGAGACCAGAACATAATTTACCGGGAATGTCAAGCCAGAACTCAGTCCTCTACAGTCAGACTTGTAGATATGACCTCTGACACAAGCAATGCAACTGCTACAGGAAGTCCATGGAATTTGTTGCTTTGCATATATGCCCCTCTTATTAGGGGACAATTTTCAATATTTATTCAGCTGTTTGGTATTAATGTTGTTTCAGCATATTGACAGAAATTCATTCATTCTTATGGGAAATAGTCCTTATTTTTTGGTCTTCTCTACTCGTTAGATTTTATGGAACTCAGGTCCTATCCAAAGCCCCCTGTACAAACTGAAATGTGGGCGTTAGCTGATAAGAGGCTGCCTTGGAGTTAGTTTGGAAGGAGATCCTGCCAATCAGAGATCCAAATCAGTGATAGATTCAAGCCAAGATTTCAGAAACCCAGGTGCAACCTGCTCAGATTTGGCAAAGCCAATGGATGCAACTACAATAAAACAACTGAATGTAAAATACGTACGGTTTGTTTTCAGTAGCTGGTTCCAGTAGCTCAATGTGCTCCTGTTCCTTTGCATATTCCACCACCAAAGTGTGTCCCAGAAATCTTAACTGATGCAGTCTGGTCAGGGCCTGAAAACAGCAAACGGCAGGATAACTCACTATTGACTTCATTAACATGCATCAGACCCCAGTTGCAATGTATAAACGTTTTCCCCTTTCTCAATACACCTCAATGGCCTAGAGGACTGCGAGCTTCAACTTAACACTGTAACTGCCTAAGGTGGTCCACAACAGTAACCATCAGACAAAATTGGATTCTCAGCCAAGTGAGGAGATATTAGATCTGATGACCAAAAATTCGATTCAAGATAGGTTTTAAAGAGTGTTTCAAAGGAAAACAAGGATAGAGACAAAGAGTGAGGGGGCTTTAGGTTAGGAATTCCAGGTATCTGGTATTACAGTTGGAATGAGTCAGGGGGTACACAAGATCAGAAATCAATGAACAATGTAGTGATTCATCTACTCACGGGGACTTGCCACAATATAAGTTCCAAACTTGAATGATGGGGTAACCCAAAAGGCAGATACTTTCAATTTAGCAGCTCACCACCAACTTCTCCAGGACAACGGAGGATGGGCAATAAATGCTTACGATGCCAGCAACTCAATAACGATGCAGTTGTTCGCTTGCTCACCGAGCTGATTATTCCGTGGTGTGCAAATGTTTCGTTACCATTCTAGTGCGATCTCTAATCAAAGCGTTGGTGTTCTGCTCCATTCCAAACTTATATGATCCTCACGTGTGTGTTCCAATCTCTGCATCACTGCTTCTGCAATGAGACCCGAGATGGGTGATCCAGTCGGCGTGCCATTGATCTGTTTGTATATCTGGCCATTGAACATGAAATGCAGGCTGATCCCAGGTCTGACGTCTAAGGAGAGATTGACTAGGTTGGGATTGTTTTCGCTGGAGCTCAGACGAATGAGGGGGTTATTATAGAGACTTACAAAATTCTAACAGGACTGGACATGGTAGATTCAGGGAGGATGTTCCCGATGGTGGGTGTGTCCAGAACCAGGCGTCACAGAAAGAGGATTTGGGGTAGGCAATTTAGGATGGAGATGAGGAGACATTTCTTCACCCAAAGAGTGGTGAGCCTGTGGAATTCATTACCACAGGAAGTAGTTGATGCCAAAACACTGACTGTATTCAAGAGGCGACTAGATACAGCACTTGGGGCAAATGGGATCAAAGGCTTATGGAGAGAAAGTAGGATTAGGCTGTTGAGTTGGACGATCAGCCATGATCATGAAGAATGGCAGAGCAGGTATGAAGGGCTGAATGGCCTCCTCCTGCTCCTATCTTCTATGTTTATATGTTTTAATGCTTTGTGAGGCATAAATCTGGTAGTTTCAGTAAGCTGTCCTTGCTGATGTTGCTGGTGATCAGGGTCAGTGCTCCCAGTCCTTGTAGTAGTGTGGCTAGTGTCTGAGGTTGTTGACTTGCTCCGATGAAGCGATGTTATTCTACTCCACTTGGAATTTATACTGCCTGGTCCGTTATGGTGAGTAATGCAATTTCAGGAAATCGGAGGCTCCACTGATGATGTTACCTAGCATGGTGACAAAGGTCTGAACGAGAATAAGCCAGCTCGGCGAGCAAGTCAACAACCTCACCCACTACCCAAGTTACAGATCTTTGCCAAAACTTTAAGTGGCTAGTGTCTCTCTGACTAACAGTATAACAATGCAAGAAACGTTACATTGGACAAACGGGGAGGAAACTGACGACCAGGATACACGGACACCAGCTGGCAGTAAAAAGGCACGACCAATATTTACTTCAGAGATAGTAGGAACAGCAGATGCTGGAGAATCTGAGATAACAAGGTGTAGAGCTGGATGAACACAGCAGGCCAAGCAGCACCAGAGGAGCAGGAAGGCTGACATTTCAGGCCTAGACCCCTCTTCAGAAAAGGTCTAGGCCCGAAACGTCAGCCTTCCTGCTCCTCTGATGCTGCTTGGCCTGCTGTGTTCATCCAGCTCTACACCTTGTTATCACCAATATTTACTTGTCTTGATGGCCTCCTTCATCTGTGTCTATCAGTTTGACTGGGAAAGCAAACAACAGACATGCAAGGGAATTTCTGGAGGCCTAGTTCTCAACACGGGACTCCATTAACAAACACGTAGACCCCATTTACAGATTGCTGCTAAAACAACCATAAGTGACAAGGCCCACCACACAAGAGGATCATATAAATTCAGAACGGAGCAGAACACCGCTTCGTTTAGAGGTCGTACTAATGATGTTGCCTAGAATGGTAACAAAACGCCTGCACACCATGGACTAACTGGCTTGGTGAGCAAACAAACAACTGCATCCAAACCCGAGCCTCAAATTTTCACTAAGACCTTAAAAATCTCAATAATGAATGTTTGTAAACTAATAACTGGCATTTTCAAACAGTTTATTTAGCCTAACGGGTCAGACAACACTGTAATACCTTGAGGGGTCACTGAATTTAATTAATTTTAATTTTTGACATTTGCATTGAATATCTGTGAAACTCAGATTCCAGATCAGAGGGAGATCATTTTGTTCAATGTACTGTTCTGGCTTCAGAAAACAACAATCCAGCTTGCTCCGTATAAAAGGTTTCATAGATGCTGGAGATCTGAGAAAGTGCTGGAGAAACTCTGAGTCTGGGAGCATCTGTGGAGAGAGAAACAGAGTTAACGTTGAGTCCAAAGAAGAGTCATATCAGACTTGAAACATTATTGCAGTTTCTCTCTCCAAAGATGCTGTCAGAGCTGCTGAGTTTCTTCAGCATTTCTGTTTTTAATCTAGTTAGTCCTACTCCCCTGCTGTTTGATTACAGCCCTAGAAATGATACCCAAACCCTTTTGAAAGTTATTATTGAACCCTGTTTCCACTGCCCTTTCAGGCAGGTGAAAGTGACAGCGACAGCGACATCGATGACAACTCACTGTGTTAAAAAAAACCCATCATTTCCCCTTCTGGGTCTTGTACTGATTCCTTTCAATCTGTGTGTCTATGATCATAGGCATTCTGTCACAAGAAAAAGTTCCTCTTGATTTACTCTATCCAATCCCTACATGAGGGTGAAATTAGTCATTAAACCTCTCTCTAAACCCTCCGTCTGTTCTATGGTCAGTAATCACAGCCTTCCTGATCTCTAATCTCATGGAATTGTTTCCTGATCAGGGTTAGATTTACAAGTGTTCTGTCCGAGAACAGGAAGGAGGTAACCTCATATGAGGGAAGGTCAAGTGGGTTGGGCCTATAATCAATGATATTTAAAAAGAATGAGGCAGCCTATCAAAACATACAAGTTTCTTAGCAGACTTGACAGGGAAGATGCAGAAAAATGCTTCCCCTTGTCAGAGAGTTTAGAACGAGAGGGCACAATCTCAAAATAATCACCGTTTAACACAGAGGTAAGGAGGAATTTCTTTTCTCAGACAGTACTGAATCTATATAATTCTTTAATGTAGAGGGCTGTTGAGGCTGGGTCACTAAGTATATTGAAGACAGAGAGAGATTGAATCAGTAAGGGAATCGGGGTTATAAGGAAATGGATTATCAGGTCAACCATGATCTCGCTGAATTTTGGAACAGGCTCAATGGGCTGAATTGCCTACTTCAGCTCTTACACCTTACGGTATCCAGGGTCCACTCAGTGCCCACATCTGCAAGTTTACTTTCTGGTATTCTTCCAAGGGATGTGTGCTTCACTAGCAAGGCCAGTATATGTTGCACAGCCTTAATGGTCCTTGAAAAGATGGAAGTGAACTGACACCTTTTGCATTCACTGAAAGAGGGGACAGGACCACAGATTAGCATCTCATCCAAAGGACAGCACCCCTTGACAGCGCGGCGCCAGCTCGGGGCTGGAGGCAGGAATGAGAGGAAGGGTTGGACATGGGATGAGGCCGGGGGTGGGGAGATTTTAAAACTGGTGAATTCTATGTTTAGGACATCGAGCTGTAGGCTCCTGAGGCAGAATATGAGGTGCTGCTCCTCCAGTTTGCAGGTGGCATCATTGTGACACTGGAGGAGGCCAAGGGAGGACATGTCACCCAGGGAGTGGGAGGGGGAGTTAAAATGGTTGGTGACCTGAAGGTGTTGTTGATTGCTGCGTACAGAGCACAGATGCTCTACGAAATGGTCTCCAAGTCTATGCTTGGTCTCACCGATGTAGAGGAGGCCACATTGAGAGCAGCAGATACAGTAGACCAAGTTGACGGATGTGCAGGTGAATCATTGTCAGATATGAAAGGTTTGTTTTGAACATAGAACATTACAGTGCAGTACAGGCCCTTCGGCCCTCGATGTTGCGCCGACCTGTGAAACCAATCTGAAGCCCATCTAACCTAAACTATTCCATTATCATCCATATGTTTATCCAATGACCATTTAAATGCCCTTAAAGTGGGCGAGTCTACTATTTTTGCAGGCAGGGCATTCCACGCCCTTACTACTCTCTGAGTAAAGAACCTACCTCTGACATCTGTCCTATATCTATCACCCCTCAATTTAAAGCTATGTCCCCTCGTGCTAGCCATCACCATCCGAGGAAAAAGGCTCCCACTGTCCACCCTATCTAATCCTCTGATCATCTTGTATGTCTCTATCAAGTCACCTCTTAACCTTCTTCTCTCTAACGAAAACAGCCTCAAGACCCTCAGCCTTTCCTCATAAGACCTTCCCTCCATACCAGGCAACATCCTGGTAAATCTCCTCTGCACCCTTTCCAATGCTTCCACATCCTTCCTATAATGCGGTGACCAGAACTGTACGCAATACTCCAAGTGCGGCTGCACCAGAGTTTTGTACAGCTGCAACATGACCTCATGGCTCCGAAACTCAATCCCTCTACCAATAAAACCGAGCATACTGTACGCCTTCTTAACAACGCTATCAACCTGGGTGGCAACGTTCAGTGATCTATGCACATGGACACCGAGATCTTTCTGCTCATCCACACTACCAAGAATCTCACCATTAGCCCAGTACTCTGTATTCCTGTTACTCCTTCTAAAGTGAATCACCTCACACTTTTCCGCATTAAACTCCATTTGCCACCTCTCCGCCCAGCTCTGCAGCTTATCTATGTCCCTCTGTAACCTGCAACATCCTTCCACACTATCCACAACTCCACCGACTTTGGTGTCATCTGCAAATTTACTAACCCATCCTTCTACGCCCTCATCCAGGTCATTTATAAAAATGACAAACAGCAGTGGCCCCAAAACAGATCCTTGAGGTACACCACTAGTAACTGAACTCCAGGATGAACATTTCCCATCAACCACCACCCTCTGTCTTCTTACAGCTAGCCAATTTCTGATCCAAACCGCTAAATCACCCTCAATCCTATGCCTCCGTATTTTCTGCAATAGCCTACCATGGGGAACCTTATCAAACGCTTTACTGAAATCCAAATACACCACATCAACCGCTTTACCCTCATCCACCTGTTTGGCCACCTTCTTGAAGAACTCAATAAGGTTTGTGAGGCACGACCTACCCTTCACAAAACCGTGTTGACTATCCCTAATCAAATTATTCCTTTCTAGATGATTATAAATCCTATCTCTTATAATCCTTTCCAACACTTTACCCACAACCGAAGTAAGGCTCACTGGTCTATAATTACCAGGGTTGTCTCTACTCCCCTTCTTGAACAAGGGGACAACATTTGCTAGTCTCCAGTCTTCTGGCACTATTCCTGAAGACAATGACGACATAAAGATCAAAGCCAAAGGCTCTGCAATCTCCTCTCTAGCTTCCCAGAGAATCCTAGGATAAATCGCATCCGGCCCAGGGGACTTATCTATTTTCACACCTTCCAGAATTGCTAACACCTCCTCCTTATGAACCTCAATCCCGTCTAGTCTAATAGACTGTATCTCAGTATTCTCCTCGACTACATTGTCTTTTTCCTGCGTGAATACTGACGAAAAATATTCATTTAGCACCTCTCCTATCTCTTCGGACTCCACGCACAACTTCCCACTACTGTCCTTGACCGGCCCCAATCTTACTCTAGTCATTCTTTTATTCCTGACATACCTATAGAAAGCTTTAGGGTTTTCCTTGATCCTACCTGCTAAAGAATTCTCATGTCCCTTCCTCGCTCTTCTTAGCTCTCTCTTTAGGCCCTTCCTGGCTAACTTGTAACTCTCAAGCGCCCTCACTGAGCCTTCACGCCTCATCTCTACATAAGCCTCCTTCTTCCTCTTGACAAGAAATTCAACTTCTTTAGTAAACCACCGTTCCCTCGCTCGACCACTTCCTCCCTGCCTGACAGGTACATACTTCTCAAGGACACGCAGTAGCTGTTCCTTGAACAAGCTCCACATTTCAATTGTGCCCAGCCCCTGCAGTTTCCTTCTCCATCCTATGCATCCTAAATCTTGCCTCATCGCCTCATAATTGCCTTTCCACCAGCTATAACTCTTGCCCTGCGTTATATACCGATCCCTTTCCATCGCTAAAGTAAACGTAACCGAATTGTGGTCACTATCACCAAAGTGCTCACCAACCTCCAAATTTAACACCTGGCCTGGTTCATTACCCAGTACCAAATCCAATGTGGCCTCCCCTCTTGTTGGCCTATCTACATACTGTGTCAGGAAACCCTCCTGCACACATTGGACAAAAACTGACCCATCTGAAGTACTCGAACTATAGCATTTCCAGTCAATATTTGGAAAGTTAAAGTCCCCCATAACAACTACCCTGTTACTTTCGCTCCTATCCAGAATCATCTTTGCAATCTTTTCCTCTACATCTCTGGAACTTTTCGGAGGCCTATAGAAAACTCCCAACAGGGTGACCTCTCCTTTCCTGGTTCTAACAGCCCACACTACCTCAGTAGACGAGTTGTCATCAAACGTCCTTTCTGCCACCGTAATACTGTCCTTGACTAACAATGCCACACCTCCCCCTCTTTTACCACCTTCCCTGATCTTACTGAAACATCTAAACCCCGGAACCTGCAACAACCATTCCTGTCCCTGCTCTATCCATGTCTCCGAAATGGCCACAACATTTTCGGCCTTGAATGGACGTGAGGGGGGAGGTGTAGCACTTCCTGTAGTTGCAGGGAAAGGTGCCGGGTGTGGTGGGGTTAGAGGGATGTTTTTTAATATATAGCCTACCTTTGCTGCTGCATAAATTGACGGGAAAGTAGCAAAAGCTGTATGTTTCTGCAAAAAACAAAATAAATTAAGAGAATGAGAATTCAATGTTTTATCACAGACAGAAAACACAAAATTCAACAACTCATCCCCGCGATTTGCTTCAACAATGTCGTACAGCAGGTAGGGAACGTCACTCCTACGTTTATCACTGCCGGTACTTCAGCTTATTCATAGCCCATCTCACTACACGTGACTGGGGTAAAGTGGATGCAGCCACATTCTCAAATCACTGGATACAGAGAAAGAGGTAAAATAGAGAGTCATTGACAAGCTTTGGTAATGGCATGACACAACAAATGAAATAACTTCAAAAGTGTAGTCAATGCTTACTTTAAGAAATACCGCAGCTAATTTTCGTGCAGCAAGCTCTCAAAAGAAATAAGGAGCAGCGAAGCTATTTCAGTGAAACTGACTGAGGGGTTAAGATCAGAATAGGTTTGAGGATTCCCTGAATCTTCAGAATAGTTCCATAAGGTTTTGTGTGTCTATATGGGGGGGTCAAAACGTATCATATTGACCTTCCGACGGCACTCCCTCAGCACTGACCCTCCAACAACGCTGCACTCCCTCAGTACTAAATTTATACTATGACTGATTGAACGTTGAATAATTGAAGGAGGGGAACGCAATGACCGTTATACAAGTACGGCTAATATCACTGTGGTCATACCAGTCTTCCTTTGTCTGATAAAACTCGCACAGACACTGCTCCAAAATACTTCAGCAAATCCACCTTCTCACTTCGTGTTAAATCAGACGGAAGATGGCGCACCAGAATTGTCTTGCTGCTATTGTTTGGAAGTGTGACACCCTCTGTGGGGACTGGAGCAGCCATGACTCTGGAAAGGCAAAGAAACACAGGACATTAGTCAATAGGCCATTGTAACTGGAGGGCTCCACAACCCAGAATTTAACTGGGCACTAGGATTAAACCGGGACTGGGTGCAGGGCAGGCCGTGTGTGTGGGGAGATGAGGATGATAGGCGGGGGGAAATGAGGATGATAGGTAGTGAGAGCGTGGGTCGTGTGTGAAAGGTGTTGTTACAGGCTGTGTGAGTGGGTCACTGAGTGGTGGGTGTGTGGAATGAGCTGCCAGCAGTGGTAGTGGAGTCAGATACATTAGGGACATTTAAGCGACTCTTGGATATGCACATGGATGATAGTAAAATGTAGGGTATACTAGGTAGTTTGACCTTAGAGTAGGATAACAGATCAGCACAACATCGTGGGCCGAAGGGCCCGTACTGTTCTATGTTCTAAAAAGGTCCTTTGGCTCATTATGCCTGTGCTGGTCAAAAACAACCACCTAACTACTCTAATCCTGTACATTTGCCTTGGCAGTTGAAAATACACATTTAAATACTTCTTAAATGTTGAGGATTTCTGCCTCTAGCACCCTGACAGGCAGACCCTGAGTTCCAGACTTTCACAAGCCTCTGTCTGAAAATGTTTTTTCCCCTCACATCCTCTTTAAACCTTCAGCCCCTTACATTAAGTCTATGCCCCTGGTTATTGATCCTCCACCAAGTGAAAATGATCATTATACATCTCAATCATGTCCTATTCAAATCTCCTCTGCTCTAAGGAAAACAGCCACAGTCTATCCAATCTCTCTTCGTAACTAAACTCTCCAGCCCTGGTGACATCCTGGTAAATCTCCTCTGCACCCTCTCCAGTGCAGTCAGACACCTCCTATAATGTGGATTCCACAACTGCACGCAATACCTTGATGGTGGCCTAACCAGCATTTCAAATAGCTCCAACATAACCTCCCTGCCCTTAAACTTTGTGCCTTCTTAACCACTTTATCCAGCTCTCATGATGTTTAAAGGGACCGGTGTACGTGCACACCAAAGTCCCTGTGATCCTGAGTTTTTCCCAAGGTCTGACTGTTCATTATGTATTCCCTTGTTACATGTGCTCTGCCCAAGTGCATCATCTCACAATTACCCAGATTGAATTCCATTTGCTGCTGACCAGTCCATCTGACCAGCCTGCCTATATCGTCCTGTTGTCTAAGGCTAGCCTTTGCATTATTTACCAGCCCACCAATATTTGTATCGTCTGCAAACTTAGTGATCAACCCTCCTACATCCCCCAGTCTAAATCATTTACAATAACCACAGACAGCAAGGATCCAGCACTGATCCCTGTGGGACCCCACTGAACATAAGCTTCCACTCAGCCATGGGCTCTTACCTTGGTTACCAGTCCCTGGGGAGGTGAGAATGTGGGGGGTTGGGGGGTGGGGGGGGGTAGGTGTTGGTGGGGGGGGGGATAGGGGCGGGTTTTGGGGGTAGTTGGGCTGTTATGAGAGTGAGGAATACTTCACCGGAAGTGGCTCCGCGAAGCTCTGCAGTCCCACGCATGCGCGCCGCCGTCGTGGCCGAGGGGCGAGGCTCGTTCCGCACATGCGCAGCGCCCGCGCCGCTGGTGGTTTCCATAGCAACCGGAAACTCATCTGCCCCGAGAGAGATGGCGGGGATCTGCCGGAGGGTGA